AATATAATGTGTTTCCCACATTCATCTGTTAGGTGGCCCTTGCCTTCTGTTACTACTGCAGTTTCAGCTGAGGCACATTTAGCCTGAGTCTAATCCTTTCCAGCTCCTTGTTACAGTTACTTTTGGTTTTATGTGCTTTGATTTCTCATGAAGAACTTCCTAGCTCTCAGAAACCATTATCCCACTTGTGCCTCTTTTATTGCATTTAGTGTGATACTGGTTATAACTAGACCAACAACTCTTTGTTGCTATGGATGCTACAGATTCTTCTGAATTAAAACTCTTACGTAATACATGTAGTCTGCTTAGCAGTTATTCTGTTGAGTAATGATACTGTGGCATGGCAATATGCCCCTTTAGTGCTAAGGAGGTGTGTGGTAGAAATTACTGTTATGGCTAGATTTAAAGGTTATTCATGTCATCTTATTGTTTTTACAATGCTTAGATGATATTTCCCATTCTGGGGCAGAGGGGGGTTTGGTCCTAGGCTGCAGAAAAACTGCCAACTTGTTTGAATTTTTCACAGGAAGGGAAAGTAATAGGAAGTGACCAGTCCATCTGTTTTGACGTGTATGTATTGCGTATTAGGAAAAGAGTTTCAAACCCCCACCCCCAGTTATGCCATGACGTGTCAGACCAATCAAAGCCACATACCGAGAAAATGGTCTTTCACAAGGTAACATGGCCGTTGGCAGCTTGTCTCTCTCTCTCTTTTTTTCTTTTTGAGTTGTAGTCTCACTCCGTCGCCCAGGTTGGAATGCAATGGCATGCTCACAGCCACCCCAGCGTCAACCTGCTGGGCTCCGACAATCCCTCCAGGTAGCTGGAACTACAGACACGTGCTACTATGTCTGGCTAATTTTTTTATTGTAGAGATGAGGTCTTGCCAAGTTGTCCGGGCTGGTCTCGAACCCATGGGCTTAGGCAATCCGCTTGCCTCAGCCTCCCAAAGTGCTGAGATTACAGGCTGGCAGCTTGTGTCTGTTTTAAAGCCTGTTCAGTGTTTTTACCTTGAGACCCATGCATGCAAATTGCTCTCCTAGAGCTCCTCTGCACTCCCCTAGAGCTCCTCTGCACTCCCCTAATCAATGTATTTTGAAAATAAATATTTGCCTAGAATGGAAATGGAGCTGTATGTGCTTAGAAACAGGCAGAATATCTTCCTTTAACGCCTCTCTTTTTCTCCAGCTAGGTTTGCCAATAGTGTTCATGGAAGATGATTGTCATGATCAAGTAGTGATGTCTTTGTCTCTCTTGGACCCTGCAGGGCTGAGCTTTCTCTTTAGGTTTGGCTGTATATTAGCAGTGTCGGATGAGGTCGGGCGTGTTCAGGGTGGTACGGCCATTACTAAGCCCATTCAGATAATGATCTGTATTAAAAGGTACACATTTAGTTTACTTGTTTATATTATTTAATACCCTCCAATGTGCATCTCTTAAGAATCAGTTGCATAGTGAAATTGTAATTTTGGTGGCGGAGATATCCTAAACACTCCTTTTAGAGGAGAAAGAAAAGTATCTGGCACAACCATCCTCAGTGTTCATCCTTTTTGGGAGCTGTTAGTCATATTAGTCTTAAGCAATTTTAAGCGGTTTTGCTCAAACCAACTATTGATCTGCAGTCAGACTGGAAGTTAATGGCTATGGTACTAGTAGGATCGCTTAGAAGATGGTTCTGGACGAACACTCCAGAATGATGTCAAGAGAAACAAATGTAGTTTCATTTCCAGATTTATTGATGAGGTTTTTTTCCCCCTCTTTTTTAAATGACAGTTTTATTTTACTCTGACTAAAATTCAGAGTTCTAAAGCTAAATGTCTAGAAGGAGTAAATAACTGCTGCTGATTCTGCTGATTTTGGAAGATAGTATTAATCATATCAGGTGACTGATTTGTGGGGTCGGAATGAAGGTTTTATCCTGCATTCATTTTTATAAGTGCACATGGTAGAAGATGCAGAGAATGTCTTGTCATGCAAAAGAATGAACTGCCCCAGCACTTTGGGAGGCTGAGGCCAGAGGATTACCTGAGCCCACGCGTTTGTGACCAGCCTGGGCAACATGGTGAGATCTCATCTCTACAATAAATTTTTTAAAAAAGATCAGCCAGGCGTGGTAGCGTACGCCTGTAGTTCCACCAACTTGGAAGGCTGAGGTAGAAGGATTGCTGGAGCCCAGCGGGTCGACACTGGGGTGGCCGTGAGCATGCCACTGTACTCCAGCTTGGGCAATGGCGTGAGACTCCAACTCAAAAAGAAAAGAATGAACTGCCTCTCTCATGTTGATTTTTATTATACAGTGCTTTTCTAAATACTTAAATTTCCTTGGGTACCTTGTTCATGTATTCTGGAGAAGAATTTCTTAGACTGAAGACTAGGCAGACCCTGAAGCTACTAAGGGAAATATAAAATGTCGTTAGCTATCTATGCTCATGGTTTGTTACATCTGAGTTAATCTTACTGGTGCTACACCACTGTCCAAAGAAAATAACCTGTAGAAACTCTACCATACTTCCTAGAGATTGCTTATTTTGCTTTTGTATGTTTAATAAAACTGACTCAAATGCTTTCTCGTGTAGTTTATGGACAATGGTTGAGTGTGTTAACTAAAGTTCAGATGCTGTTAACTCTGATTTGTGTACGACCAGGACTCTGGGTTGTCTGTCCCCTCCTCCCATTTTGGGGGGCTATCACACAGGTTGAGCAGAGAAAATACTTTTCCTGGATTATTGGAATTATATGTTATTTAACTTAACTGGACAGTTATATCTCAGTAGTGACATTTCATGTTCTCTGTTATGGAATTTATAATTCCCCTTATACTCAGTAATAAAGTAGTTTAGTCAAGCACTTTAAATATAGAAAGCTTAATTAGCACTTGCCATGGAAACTGAGAGATGCATGCATTTTGAAAATTCAGTTGATTATTAAAAGATTTGATTCCTCTGTGCTAATATTTTTTTTCTTCATTTTCTTAAGTATTCATGAATGAATTATATGTGTATTAGAGGAAAGCTGATCTGAATGAGGTGAAAATAACATACCAAACACCACAGCTTAGCCTAGCCTATTTCAGATGTGCTTAGAGAGCTTACATTGGCCTCTGATTGAGCAAAAATCTAACACATAACCTATTATCATAAAGCAGTGAATATCATGAAATCTACAGAATACTGAATGTAGAAAACAATGGTACAGTTTCTAATGAATACATACTGCTTTCACAGCATACAGTTGAAAAATTGTAAGACGAATGGTTGTTAAGTCAGGGACTATATAAGATTTGTTGATGTCACTTTCAGTTGTCTAAAGTTTAACAGAAATTGTGATTTACATACTTTTTATTGTTGTAATACCAAAATCATGAAGAAGGCCCATCTATTATTTCAGTCTGTGCTTTAGAAAAAAACTTTCTTGCTATAACTTTTGAAACTTATTATATGAGAAAAGAAATCCCTAGGTCAAATATTTATATACTGGTGAGATATGTGATTCTACCACGTTAATGTTCTTGTTGATATCCTAGCTTCTAGAAGCTGTGTGTATATAAAGGTACAATCAGTTCTCTGTGTCCTTGGGTTCTGCATCCATGGATTCAACCAACTTCAGATCGAAAGTATTTGAAAAAGGAAACCAATGTGAAAAAACAAAAACATACTTACCTGGCAGGGGAGATACCATGATCACGAAGGTGGTTTTTCCAGGGCGAGGCTTATCCGTTGCACTCTGGATGTGCTGACCCCTGCAATTTCCCCAAATGTGGGAAACTTGACTGCATAATTTGTGGTAGCGGGTGACTGCGTTCACGCTTTCCCCTGGACTTTATTGTTTAATAAAAAGCTCACCAGTTAAAAAAAAATACAGTACAGCAACATTGCACTTACATTGTGTTAGGTATCGTAATATACATACAGATGATCTAAAATATATGGGAGAATGTGTGTAGGTTATATGCAAACACTGTGCCATTATAATTTGAACATCCAGGATTTTGGTATCAGCAGGGGGCCCCTGGAATCAACCCCCTGAGGATACCAAAGGATGCCTGTATTAAAATGTTGGTTTTATATTACTGTACACACAGGCGCTCTGGTCTGAAGTTCTCAACAGCACTAGTAATTGTTTCAGAGTAGTCCCTAATGAAATTCAAGTTCATCAGCAGCAAGAAGAGGGTGAGACAAAATTAAGACTTTCAGCCATTGTATGAGTATTTAAAAACTAAATTTTTGCTGTGGTTAAACTTTGTCTTTTGTGGAGGTGCCTATGAGTCTGCAGACCCAAGTGACTGTAAGCTCACACTGTGATGACCAGTAGACAACACAGCCATGTGTATGCAGTAGACACTACTCATGTCTGTTGAGACAAGTGGCTTTGACTTACTATGTGATCCTGTGTACATCCCAAATGCTGCTTCTGCTGGTTCAGAGTTGAACTTAAAGATAACAAAGATATGTTTATAGTACAGGGTGAGGAATAAGAGAACTGGAGACTTAAATCTGTAGCTAAATACTTTTTAAGCTAGATGTGAAAGAGGGATTAAAGTTCATGCCCTGCAGTTCCTAGGGTGGAAAGAAGCAGAGTAGCTGTCTGAACCGATGAATTCCTCATCTCTAAAAATGTCCCAGCAGATGCTGAATAAACACCCGTTGGGACTGACCCAGTATTGGGAGGGAGGTGACTAGGAGACTTCACGATTCTGGTCTGTGACGTAAAAAATAGTGAAAGACATTTTGGGAGAAATAGAGAACGAAAGCTATTTAAAAGCTTGGGTCCTCATGCCAATTTTCATACTATTATGTCATATGCCACCCAGTAGCTACAAAATAGCAAAATGAAGTGCAAGTTGTAGTAAGTAATAAAAATACACGTTCACATTTTTTTTCATATGCTGTTTTTTCAGCATTACCTCCAGGTAAAATATACCAGAGCAATCGGTACATTTCTAAAAGGAAAACGATACCAATTTTTCTATCCGTCTGCTATAAGAGATGAAAGACACTGAATTTTGTCAATAAAATCTTTATGAACATCTGCACTTACACATTTACATTCAAGTTGATAACACCAGTAGTTTCATTTCAATACAAATTATGCTAGCGAACTCTTACATTTCAGACATGGTCCTCTAAGAGCTGTCTGAAATTATCTCGACACAGATCTTGATAGTGAATCTCTGGATGATAGATGTGCAGCCAGTTTGTCCCGGAACTCATGAAGATAATTGTATTGCTGAAAATATTAAAGACACATTGAAACATACTGTAGAAAACTAGTTACCAGAGTAGACACAATGCTAGTTTAGGAATTGAAGCAAATAGTTGCTAAGAACAATTCTACACCTTTTATGAGTAAAGAAGCATTTGTATCATGGGGAAGTTTTAATTATTATTATTTTTTTTTTTTTTTGAGTTGGAGTCTGACTCTGTCACCCAGGTTGGAGTGCAGTGGCATGCTCACAGCCTCGACCTGCTGGGCTCCAGCGATCCTTCTGCCCCAGCCTTCCAAGTAGAACTACAGGTGCGCATTAATTATCTTTTAATAAAGCTGCATACAATGAAAAGCTATTGTTTTAAAAATCTCTAAAAAACTCGAAGGTGGCATGAAACAAAGAAGGGTGTTTTATAAGTTTGTAAGAGCCCTTTCTTTACTTGCAGGACCAAAGAAGATGAAAAACAGTACATAAAGGCATGATTTTTGTTAATGTTTGTCCCCTAGGGAGTAAGGAGAGAACATTTTCTGTAGCAATTAACAGTCAGTGGTATACATCAGAAAATCCATATTTCAACTTATAGAAGCAGTAGTTGTCCATCTTGTGATGACATAATCCATTTGGGACACTTTTCATAGAAATTATTTTTATTTTTTTTATTTCAGAGTCTCATTGTGTCACCAGGCTGGAGTGCGGTGGCATGCTTACAGCCACCGCAGCCTCGGCCTACTGGGATCAGGTGATCCTTTCGCCTCAGCCTTCCAAGTAGCTACAGATGTGTGCCACCATGCCCAGCTAATTTTTTGACTTTTGTAGAGACAAAATCTCGCCAAGTTGCCCAGGCTGGTCTCGAACTCATGGGCTCAGGCAATCCTCTCACCTCTGCCTCCCAAAGTGCTGGGACTGTAGGTGTGAGCCACCTCACCTGGCGTGAAAATACTTTTAAAAAACAACCCCCAGGAAATACATAACAAGATGACAAGCATGGAAAGCAGAATAAAAAATTTAAAAAACCCAAAAAACAACCCACATCACTAATCTTAAGATAATCAAAATAAAAGCCTTGAGTAATTTCTGTGGCGTTTTAATAGCTTCCCATAGGCTGTTCCTATGCTGCCAATCATCTCATTTCTATTCTGAGAAGAGGAAACCACACTGCTGACATACACCAGCACGGGGACAGTCAGAGCCTGTTTGCCAAGAATGCTGAGGTCATGAATTGACAGTCTGCACCAAAGCCTAATTCACTCCAGTAGTGGAGATGTCAAGCATATGCATGTTCCTATACACATTTGACCATGTAATTTATTTTGCTTCAAAGAGAAGAGAGACTCGAACATTTGGGATCTGAAGCATCATCTGGTTCTAACATAAAGGGAGCTTTCTGTTTCACAACCTGGGCAGGAAGTGGATTCTGTGTGGGCTGTCCTGTGAATTGATCGGCAGGTGGGCTTTCCATCCCAGGGATCTCCCGACGGCCAGGATACCTGGGGACCCACTACTGCACTGAGTGGGGCTAAGGCTGAGAAGGGACACTGGGGAAGGGACGGCAAAGCTGCTTTATGGATGTACAAGCACCGTGCAATTGGCAGAACATTTTCAGTGCCACATTCTACACAATGATGCTCTTGGCGTTGCTGGGCAGTGTTTCTGCAGTGTGAGGGGGAAGGTCTATGCGGAAGATGGCACTTCAGCTATCCACAGCAAAAGATACCCTGCCCTGCTTGACATTTTTTGTGTTATAGTAATTTACCTGTCTTTATTCAAGGTTTCAGTGATACACTTAGACCTTCCATAGATCTTTTGGACCAAGAATCTGTCCAAGAAACTGCCTGGTTCACAGTCACCATCTCATTGTTTCAGGTGAAAGAATCCCAAAATTGACTGAGGCACAGTCGTAGTTGCTGCGAGGGTAAACCAGAAAGGTCCGATTTGACAATGATTTTGCTTGAAATAGTGTGTGCTTTGCAGATATCTAGATTACATTTAAATGTAAATTAAAAACGCAAACAAGTGACACTTGAAGGCTAGAGTGCTTTGCCTTCGGCTCATGGCCCTTTGGTTGCAGGTTTTGCTGTGTCTGTGATGGTCTGCCCCAAGTACGGCCCACCTCTCACCTTTATGGTCTGAATGGCCCCAGATCCTCTCAGGTCTCGCAGGCTGTCTATGGCTTCCTGAGGTGATACCGTGTCAGACAGGTACAGCAGAAGACAGGCGGCTACTAAGACAGCATGGTGGAAAGATGATGTTATTAAATAATTAGCGAAAGGGTGTAGAACATTCTATAGTTAGATTTCTGTTGATGCAGAAGACTCAGTCTGGTGTAATTATTCCAAATGGATTAAGAGACTGAGACTTTTAATGTTTTTGACAGTTAAATTATGATCTTAAGTGACTGCATGGTTGAAGTTTAACACTAGCTTCACTCTGTCATCCATGTAGAGTGTGCAATTCAGTGATTCTGTTTTAGTATATTTACAGGTACATGCAGCTCTCAGCACAGTCGATTTTAGAATATTTTCATCACCTCAGAAACAAACCCTGTGTTCTTTTACTGTCACACCCTGTGATCCTACAAACTCCTGCCCTCAGCCATCACTGGTCTACTTGCTGCATCCAGATTTGCCTGTTCTGGACTTTTCATCTAAATGGACTCATGCAGTACGTGGTCTCTTGCATGACTTCTTTCACTTAGCATAATGTGTTCAAGGTTCATAAATATTGTAGCATGCATCCACACTTCATTCCTTTTTTGTTTTTCTTTTCTTGAGGTGGGGTCTCACTGTTGTCTAGGCTGGAGTGCAGTGGCATGATCACAACAATCACAGCTCACAGGAACTTTGACCTCTTGGGCTCAGGTGATCCTCCTACCTCAGCATCCCGAGTAGCTGGGGTTAAAAGCACAAACTACCATGCCCAGCTAATGTTTTGACTTTTTTGTGGAGGTGACGTTTCATTATGCTGCCCAGGTTGGTCTCAAACTCTTGTGCTCAAGCAGTCTGCCTGCCTCTGCCTCCCTAAGTGCTGGGATGACAGGCATGAGCCACTGTGCCTGGCCTCATTTGTTTTTATGAATGAACAATAGTCCATTCATCAGTTAGTGAACATTTAGGCTGTTTCCATTTTTTGATTACTATGATTAATGCTGCTATAAATGTTTGTGTATAAGTCTGTGTGTGAATGTAACTTTTCATTTCTTTTGGATATGTATCTTGGAGTGCAATTACTGGGTTATATGGTAACTCTATGTTTAACTGAGGAAATGCCAGACTCTTTTCCAAAGCAGTTGTACCATCTGACATTCCTACCTGCAATGTGTGAGGGTTCTAGTTTCTCCACATTCTTGCCAATACTTGTTATTTTTCATTTTTTGGATAAGAGCCTTCCTAATGGACGTCAGTTGGTATCCAAGATGGCTTTGATTTGCATTTCCTGGCGACTAATAACATTGGGCACCTTTTTTTTTAGAGTCTCACTCTGTTGCCCAGGCTGGAGTGCAGTGCAGTGGCACACTCATGGCCACCCTAGCGTTGACCTGCTGGGCTTAGGTGATCCTTCCGCTTCAGCCTTCCAAGTAGCCAGAACTACAGGCGTGTGCTACCATGCCCGGCTAATTTTTTTGATTTATTGTAGAGATGTGGTCTTGCCAAATTGCCCAGGCTTGGCCTTGAACCCATGGACTCAGGCAGTCCTCTCACTTCTGCCTTCCAAAGTGCTAGGATTACTGACTTGAGTCACTGCACCCAGCCAGGCACCTTTTTTGTATGTTTATTGGCCATTTGAATATTTTTATTTGGAGAAAGGTTTATTTAGATCCTTTGCTCCCCCCGCCTTTTTTTTAAAGTTAGAATCTCACTCTGTTGCCCATCCTGGAGTGCAGTGGCGTGATGATGGCTCACCACAGCCTTGACCTCCTGGGCTCAAGTGATCTTCCCTTCTCAGCCTTCCAAGTAGCTGGTACTACAGGTGTGTAGTACCACATGTGGCTAATTTCTTTATTTCTTGTAGTGACAAGGTCCCGCTATGTTGCCCAGGCTGGTCTGGAACTCCTGGGCTCAAGCAATCCTCCCACGTCAGCCTCCCAAAATACATTACAGGTGTATTACATTACAGGTGTGTGCCACATCCAGGCCTTTTGCCCATTTTTAATTGGGTTGTTTGTCCTTTTTTATCGAATTGTAAGAGTTCTTTTTTATTTTAAAGATGTGGGGTACAATTCAGGATTGGGTATACAAGTAGTCATCATACAGGTAAAGTCTGGGCCTCTCTTTAGTTCTCACTTTGCCTGGTTTGAGTTCAGGTGCTCTTATTGATGTTTCCATTCCCTCCATCAACCTGGCAGTTTTTGGCTACTGCCAGTCCCTTATAGTGTTACGTTAAATGTTCAGGGTCAGCTTGTTCTTTATATATTCTGAATACAAGTCCCTTATCAAAATTTTCCTCCATTCTGTGTTATATTTTCATTTTGATAGTGTCTTTCAAACACAAAGGTGTTCTGTTTTGATGCTGTCCAACTAACTGTTCCTTCGGTGTGGCATTTCATGAACTGTTTTTTGTTTTTCCCAGCACATTAAAAACATTAAAAAAATTAACATACAGTAATTCACTTAGGTTTTCATACTTAATGTTACCCATGGATATTATTTGGAAGTTACTGTTAGTATCATAACACTCACATAGGGAGAATATTAGAAAACATAAAAAGTAAGAATGCAGGTGGTAAGACTTGTAAATGATGTTTTGCAGAATCCTCCAGAACAGTGCTAAAAATCCCGCACACACCCAAGCTTTCTAGGAAATGCCAAGTTTAGGGCCTTTAATAATCCTTTGAGTCTTAGCAATCCTATATTATGACTTGTCTCATTTTAATACAAAGTGAGCATATGGCCCAGAAACAGGAGTTTGCCAACTTTGAGGTTAAAAAAATTATAATGAAAATATATCTCTTACCAAGACAAGATCTCCCAAGTCCTCCATAACAGCTGAAAGGGAAACATAGTTTTGAAGTTTGCACATTTTCGTTCCATCCCCAGTTACAATTAAACACTTGCTCTTTCTGTTTTCTGTCTATAATTCTAATGCCTAGCACAGTGCCTGGCACACGATTGATAAATATTGTTGAGTTAATTGACCAAGAGCAAAGTATGCTTAGTTCTTTGTTGGAATGTGTTCTGAACACCTCTAAAGGTCTTTTTATTGACCCCTTTAAGCCCCAAGATCCATATCTGAGAAATGGAGCATGTTACCAAATAGAAATCAGACTATTTTAACCAACTGCCACTTGATTATTTTCTTCTGTCTAATCAGAACCTGAGTGGTTACAGTACACATGCTACCCAAATGGTAACCTTTCATGTAGGTAGAAAGTCCAGAGGCATGAACACGGCTGAGAGCCCTCCTGCCTGGGCTTGTGGACTGGAGCTGTTCCTTCCTAGATGTATAAAGCTAAGCAAGTTATTTAATCTCTCTGGGCCTCAGCCTTTTCATCTATAAAACAGTAATAGCAAAAGTACCTATGTCAGAGTGAGGAATAAGTGAGGCTCACTTACAACTGACTGAGCATTTCTAAAGCATGTAGAACAGAGCTTGTTACGGTGAGAAGTAAATGAATGTTAGCTGCTGTTCTCTAGCACTGTGAAGAAATGAGAAGTTTTGCATAATCGGATTTTTCAGAAAAACGAAGATTAACCCTCAGCAGCAAAACTATTCAGTGTCATCATTTTCAAAGATCCTAAAATATGTACTACATGCCTCGTAACTTGCTTAGAGGGTACACTGAAACTAGCTGAGTGCAGATGCCTTATCCTCATGCTCTTCAATTACTGTAGTGTGTGGACAAAGCTGTGGGTAAAGATACAAATCTTGCTACAGGATGGAAGAGAGAGGTTCACTTAGGTACTGACCCCTAGAGGTACTCATGAACTTGCTTTCTACAGTGCCTCCCAGATGTAGGCATGTTTCAGAGACTGGATCTACCATGTAAAGGTGGAGAGAACACTTCACTGGCTTTCGCAAGACTACTATTACTTTACTACTTTACACCTCTTGCTATTTGCGTCTTTTCTTTTTGAATTCCTACTCATCTTTCAAAACCCAGCTCAAATTTCATTTCCCGAAATGCCTTTGTGCTTCTACAGAAACGATCACTCTCCTGAGTACACAACTGGTGCAGGGTTATTGCACTTACATGGCAGTGTTGTCATCTGTAGGTTCTGTGTGGGTGGGGACTGTGCCCCGTTTTGTAGTCCCAGTGTTTAGTACACAGTAGGTATTATCAGTTGAATTATGTTTTCCCAGAAGATATGTTGAAGTCCTTATCCCTTAAGCCTGTGAATGTGACCTTGTTCAGAAATGAGGTGCTTGCAGAGAGATGCACGTTAAGATGAATTAGAGTGGGTGCTAATCCTATATGACTAGTGTCCTTATGAGAGGACAACACCTATGAAGACACAGCTACATGGAGGGTCATGCGAGGGACAGAAGCAGAGACTGGAGTCATGCAGCTGCAAGCCAAGGAATGCCAAGGATTGACGGCCGCCCCCAGAAGCTGGGATGAAGCAAGGAAGGGTTCTACTCAGTCTCAGAGGGAGCTTGGTTCTGCTGACACCTTAATTTTGGGCTTCTAGTCTCCAGAACTAGGAGAGAATACATTCCTGTTTTAAGTTACCTAGTTTGTGGTACTTTGTAACAACAGCCCAAGAAGACTATGTCATAGAGTAGGCAAGCAGTGTTCACAGATTTTATAAAGAGCTGAAAATGTCAACCAGGGAGATAGCACTGGTAGACAACAGACTGAAAACAATGGCCCCTCTTTCTGAGGGGTAACTCTATAGCTGTCTAGAAAGGTGGGCACTCAAAGATGGCAGAATGGACAGAACTGTCTTTATCCAGTCACTGTAGGACACCTTTGAAAGTTCTAGGACAATGAAAAATCCAGTCATCAGATGTTTTCTTTTAGGGGAGCTTGAGGCATTCAGCATGTGCGAAATCACCCATCCACTGTCCATCCTGCTTGTATTCTGTGCAAACATCAGAGCATCCGGTTTGCCAGAACCTGCTAGAGTTGAATTTGTTAGGCTTCACTTCATTAAATTGAGGTAGTTTGAGCTCTGGAAACTTTTCAGTAGAGGCTGCTTTCAAAAATATATTTGAAAAGGAAAAATATCTCAAGTGGTTTGAAAAATGGGTCCCCAAATTGGAAAAGTTTTCCCTAGCTACCTATATTTTGACCTATACTTATCAAAAAATTTAGCATAGCAACTGTATCTATTCTGAAATTTAGCTTTTACAATTAGTGCTAGATGAGAGATTATGTTTTTCCCTGGAGAAAGATTGGGAACTACAGGCTCCTTATTTCATATTCTGCAAACTGTAGTTCTCTGGGTGATAGAGTTTAGTTTGGTCACAAACAGCCCCTTCAGAGCTGTCATGAGGCCCCTGGGTTTAAGGAGAGAAGGTGGCTGGACTGGCCCTCTCACAGAGCACCCTGAGGCCACAGCAATTTGGGATAGTCTAGCCCAAAGCAGCAGCCTTAGGGAGCACAAGACTTTTGAGGTCTCACACTCCCTCTTTCCAGAAAGGGTTACACAGCTCATTGGGACACGCCATGTACACTAAGCACAGGGAGGGGGTGGCTTCATGCTGTGGCTGGCTCTTCTCTGAGTGTCGACTGTGGACAGTCCACAGCACCACCTCTGTTCGCACCACGCTGTATCCATTGCCCACTGCTGCTCTCGTCTTTTCTCCAGGCTACTTTTTTCTTCATTCCGAATTTTCCCCCTTCCCTTAACCCATTTTATTTTGTTTTAAACTTTCATATCAGCAGCCTGTGTTTTATCATGATTGACAAACAATGAGAGTCCCTCTTTCATTCTGGTAGCAGATTCACATCACATGTAATTTCTAGTTATTTTTGTAAGCTTAGAGATCAGTTTTTGCTGCTAAATTTTTAAAAAAACCAACTTTCTTGCTACTGAAAGCAGCTAATAAGCAATTGATAGGCTGACCCATAAGCGAGGTGGCAGAGGGGGTAGGGTCTAAGACAAGAGGAAAGAAAAAAAAGCCTGTGATCCTGTTCTAAAAATTCCCAACTCTGCACCTGTATTGGCTACACTCTTGAAAGTAATAACAGCAGATATCAGGGGCTTACCCTGTGCCAGAGGCTGTGCTAGCACTTTCCGTGCATTGTCTCCTTTCAATCCTTACAATAAACTATGAGGTAGGTAATGGCCAAATAGGGTTGCAATAATCGAGAAATCATTCTGACTGTGACATTTCTCAAGTCTCATATGAAGAAAAAGGGGACGTACTGTATTAAGGTTTTCCGGTTATTTTTCAAGCAGATTGCAAGCTCCTCCATGATTTCACAGCAGCTGGCGATGTCAGGAGTGTCTCCATCTGGGATTGGATGATGGTGGGTGGTCATTCCACACTGCTGGTAGAGGTCCAAAAGGTTTGGCACTCTGTATTTTGACAGTTCTCCTCTGGTGCAGAAAACAAATATGTCTTGTATGCCATGGCTCTTTAGTTCCTCTGCCAACAGACCAAGACACACACAGAAAACATCACACATTTGAATACAACCAGAAGGGAGACTACAGAGTTAAGTTTCTTAAGTCAAGTTCATACAAATGAAGATCCATATATTTGAAGTACCTAGGCTGGACACAGTGGTTCATGCCTGTAATCTCAGTGCTCTGGGAGGCCAAGGCAGGAGGATTGCTTGAGCCCAGGAGTTCAAGACCAGCTTGGGCAACACAGCAAGACCTCATCTCTAAAAAAATGAAAAGCTAGCCAAGCATGGTGGTGCATGCCTATAGTCCCAGCTACTTGGGAGGCTAAGGCAGAAGGATTGTCTGAGCCCAGAAGGCTGAGGCTGCTGTGAGCCATGATCGCGTCGCTGCATTCCAGACTGGGTGACAGACTTCAACCATGTCTCAAAAAAAAAAAAAAAAAAAGTGCCTGTTCATAACATCTGAATCAAAAGGTGATTAGAGTTAAGCCTGACTTTATAAACATAAAAATACTTTTTATTGAAGTTCAGAATGAGTCAACTGCTGTTACTGAAAAGCTTTGTGGTAAATACTGCTTTAAAATAAACTTTTAAACACTTAATATTTAAAAATCAACTCTAGAGAAGAAGGAATAGCACTTTTTTTTTCTTCTCACAGAATCAACTACGTTTGCTGATCCATCACTCTTGTGTTGCTTTATCCCCAGTGGTGTGTATAAAGTCTCCAGCAGGGCAGGGTTCCAGAGCTCTCGTGCTCTCCCTTGTGTCTGCAGCACCAGGCCACACCATTGTGGGTGTAAGTTTATGGGCTAGGTTGCTAGGAAGTAAAGCAGCAACCTGCGCTAAACTTTTGTGACTTAAGCTGTTTTCACAATCATGATTTGAACCAAGAAATATCACTGTAGGGCTTCTATTCACTGTAGGGCATTTGGTTTAAAATAAATAATTCTGGCTGATCTAAGTGCCTCCCACCCTCCACACCCAGCCCTCTCCCTCCCTTCTCAATCCAAGAACATTTAGCTGTTTAAGCACAGTCTTCTCATGAACCTAGTCTGTATTGAGATGCAGTGGAAGTGTAAAGCATACCCCTGATTCCAAAGACTATTTACACAGATTACTAATTTCATTAATAATTTGTTTTATACTTAAAGCCAGCTGAAATGATAACTTTGGGGCTACATTAGGTTAAATTGAATATACTGTTTCGTGGGGCAGCTAGCCATGGTTACACATATGGATGGCTTCCACCCGTAGCTCCATTTTGTTTCTGTGGACCAATTCTGTTTTAGAGAAAACGATTCTATTTTTGTATTTTAAAAGCCTTTAGCTTGTAGTTCACACATCTGGCCATTTTTAAGAGAGTAGGCGATTTCCCATTATTCTCTGTGCTGACTTCTATAATACTCCATTTTTCAAACTTTCTTTTCTAGGCACTGAGGTGGCACCCAAAAACTGCTGGGAGAATCTGGGTCTCCTACTTCAAACACTTTGGCCTGTTTTTTATATTGGATTCCACTTAAGATTTCATTGTAGAAAAATTGGCTTTTGGAAAAAAAATTAGAAACCCATTTTATAGAAGGTACTAATTTTATTGTTGTTCTTTGTTAGCATCAGGGTCTCCACTCTGTCTCCCAGACTGAAGTACAGTGGCGTGATACTGGCTCACCGCAGCCCCAATCTCCTGGGTTCAGGCGATCTTCCTACCTCAGCCTCCTGAGTAGCTGGGACTGATGTGTCACTATGTTGCCCAGGCTGGTCTCCAACTCCTAGAATCAAGCAGTCCTCCCGCCTTGGCCTTCCAAAATGCTAGGATTACAGGTATGAGCCACTGTACCCAGCCAGAAGATACTAAATGCGTATTACATTTCAAAATGTGCAAGACTGATATTGAATGAATGGTTTAAATGACATACATTTTGCTTATGACATAAATGTTTTTCAATGGAAATTTCCTACCATGGTGGGTGTTTCTAAAGCAGAAATTAGGCTGGGCACGGTGGCTAATACCTCTAATCCCAGAACTTTGAGGGGCCAGAAAGGGAGGATTGCTTGAGGCCAGGAGTTCGAGATCAGTCTAGGCAATATAATGAGACCTTGTCTCTACAAAAAATAAAAAAATTAGCTAGGTATGGTGGCGCATGCATTGTTGTCCCAGCTGCTTGGGAGGCTGAGGTAGAAGGATCACCTGAGCTCAGAGATCAAGGCTGCAATGAACTGGGGTAACACCACTGCAGTCCAACCTGGGTGAAAGAGTGAGACCCTATCTAAATAAAACAAAACAAAAACAGAAAATTTTTATAAATACTGCAAGGGTCAACTAATCTACTAGCCTTTTTTATTTTGGTAAGTAAGAGTACATTTTTTTCGAGTTGGAGTCTCACTCTGTCACACAGGCTACACAGTACAGTGGCACACTCATGGCCATTCTAGCCTCAACTTGCTGGGCTCAGGTGATCTTTCCAAGTAGCTAGAACCAGAAGTACACGCCACCACACCCGTCTAATTTTGTTATTTATTGTAGAGACAAGGTCTCACCAAGTTGCCCAGGTTGGTCTCGAACCCCTGGGTTCAGGCAGTTCTCTCACCTCTTCCTCCCAAAGTGCTGGGATTATAGGTGTGAGCCACTGTGCCCAGCTAAGAGTACATGTTGAAAGACACATTAGCAAACTGACATTCCAGAATAACCAGGAAAGGATTTTAAGATTTAAAAAAGCTATACTGGTCAAAATCAAGCAATATATACATTTTTACCTTGTGTATTATAAGGATATTAGTAGAACTAGTAGGCTTGAGATATTCAAGGCCAACCAGAATAAAATACTTTGAAAAGCCACATTTATTAGTATCACACAAGATGTAAATTACAAATTGGGGTAGATTATCAGAATTATTAAACTTGAGGCTATAATGGTAATAAACATCCATGGGCCTGGGATGGTCAGTTACCACTTTGTCCCCCCCCCCAGACGCTGGCTCTCTAAATTTCCTGCCCAGGACAGACAGTTTCACTGTTACCTCAGAGATTCTAGCTTGGGTTTAATTCCTACTATCACAGTTAAGTCTGCAAGAAATAGTATGTTCAAAGATCTGGGCAGTGCAATATGTCAGCTTTCTATTTACATACATTTCACCTTCTAATTTCTATGTTCTAACCTAAAATGCTGATAATATGTAAAACATAACTACAGCCATAAGTGAAAAGCAGTGCCATGTTTGGGTAAATGATAAGTCCTCTGAGTCCTTCACTAAGAAAGACCTCTTCATATATTAGAATAGGTCTACAGTTTAAAACGTCACAGAATACTGAACATTTATTATATATATTCAAAAGAGACTACAGTTTGTTTCTTTTGACAAAATCATTTTTGGTGTTATTTTCAAAAAATTCTGTTTGGAACGGTTGTCTCATATTACACCTACCTGTATCTTTTTGGACATTTCTTCTAACATCCTTAAATTTACAACCTATAAGTAGTAATAAAGCAAGTAAAAAAGTCAGTTTTTGGTCATATATAACAAGTATATTTAAGCACTTATATAGCTTCTTCAAAAAGTCATTCTGCATAATCATTTATATGTTTCAATTCTGTTTTAAATGTGAATTTCAATTTGATATTTATAGAAATATAGTTACAGGGATTTACCCTAATTGAAGATGATTTATTCTGTGACCTCTCTGTAACAAGGACCTGGCTGTAGTCCTCAGCCTCACTTGCACCCCAGGGTTTAAGTTTTATTAGGGTAAGTAAGCCAGAAGTGTAGGGCTGGGAATGCAGACCTGGAAAGGATGAAAGGTCGTTCTGTGCTCCTTTATCTCTAACCCACCATAAGGGCTCCAAAAGTGAGTTCCCAGTGCTGATGGACTACAAAATTCTCTTATGCCCAGTAGGATGTGTCCGCTGACAAAATAGTTGCTCTAAATCTGCTGATACCTGCCTGGAAGGGCACATAAGCCCAGGAACTGAGGACAATTCTCTCGTGACAGAGGCAGCCTGAAAGGAAGAGACAGTTATCAAGTTTAGCTCAGTTTTTTAAGATGTTATAAATGGAAAACCAGTTTAACCAATATGGGTACTTGCCACTGTATAGGGATGTGTTAAAATGTCATTGTAGTTATAAAATAAAAATTCATAGTTAAATATCAATGTGTTGGTCACAAAAAGGTGAGAAAGATGCAGAGTTTTAAAACAGGGACTTATTTGCTTTGTTACTGTTTCAGTCTTAAAAATGGCAAGTTAATTCAAGTGTACCTTAAAGATAGTAATGCCTAGATTGCCAGCAGGTAGTACATGGTTTACCTAAGTGAGCCTGTGATTATGTTACCTGAGATAGTTCTTATTAGTGGCAGTAGGAAAATAAGCTGGAAGATGAGCATCTGACAGTTTTATCCCCAGCATTCATTCTACATTACTATTTTAAGTTTTGGGGGGAGAACTTCCCTAACAGATATAATTTCATATGATAAAAACCACAGACTGCCCATTCTTGGTTGTAATGGATTTTGGTTAAAATAATTTCAAAAAACCATTATTTCTAGTTTGTAGTACTCAGGGACAGAGGCTCACCTTGTCTGCAAGTCAGAGATGAGTTTAGTGGAAAACAGGAGGCATCATATAAATACCCCCCGATTGTGAAAAGTGGATGAGTTTCTGGGCTTAAGTGGGGGTATGAAGCAGAAATGAAGGTGATCCTACCTGGTGGCAGGACAAAATAACTTAGTATCAACAGTGTAGTACACTTTTCACTTCTGGCAGCAGGTAGGCGCTGTCTTAAGGAGAGATGGTGACATTTGCAGGGATGAGAAAGCATTTGATGGCTGGTTGTACCGAAATTGGTGTAACCATAAATCACTTGCCAAGACGGTCAAGTTGACTTTATTTTTAAACTTTTTTTTGCAGAGATAGGGCCTCACCATGTTGCCCAGGCTGGTCTCAGACTTCTGGGCTCAGGCAGTCCTTTTATCTCGGCCTCCCAAAGTGCCGGATTACAGGCGTGAGCCACTGTGCTTGGCTTGTGAAGTTGATTTTATATAGAAACTTTTTTTGTTGTTACTGAATGTATGTGGCTTTTATCTGAAACAGGGTCTGATCAAAGCATGACTGTGACAAGTACTTCTAAGAATTATGTGGGATCTGAGTTCATGACGAATGATTAAATATCATCTTACATTTGATATACAATTCTTCTGTCACAAAATAACAAGTAGCTGTTGGCACCAACTGGGAGTTCACTTTGGACCTCCTCTACTCCTTACTTGCTTCTAAGGTTTTCTCAATGTACAAAGGACCAAAAAAAAAAAAAAAAAAAAAGTTGGGGCTTAATTCTATAGCAGAGATAGTTAGAGAAGATCTTTTAGAGACTAGGATTTTATATAATCAACAAAAGAGATTATATAATCACTTAACATTTTCCAATATGTGGATGACATTCTACTAGGACTATGATGCAATATCACATATCTTAGCTCATCTTGATCAGAAATGTCAACATACCATGATATCTGGATTGGAGTCTGTTCATCTTCAACAGGATCTTCATCTGATGAGTCAAACTCACTGGGTTGTATTGAACTAGGCTTCAAAAGCAACAGACTATGTCACATCACTGCAATGGGTATTTACATGTCTTTTTAGTACAGCTAGTCCTTGCCTGAACACACACTGAATTCGTATTTGCAATTTATTCAGCCCGTCAATCCAAAATACCAGCGAGATGAGCGTACACGCAGCATGAGTGCTACTTACCACCCTGTTAGTAACTCCAGCACTACGTAAGGGGAGTGCTGGATTAGGACTGAGCAACCTGGAGGCTGGTCTTGGCTATGCCACTTACTGTGTCCTCTCCAACAAGTCACCTCAGTTTATTCTGCATCTGCTTTCCTCAACTAGAAAGCGAGGCAACTGCGTCGATCATTCAGACGTTTTTCCCTTGCCAACTCTGGAAGTGCAAAAGGCCTGTAGGATAACCCGATCCTGAACAGTCCGCCTTCAGGATTGCTGGAGAAATGGTGTATGCACAGATTACAGAGGGAAGGTGTCAGCACTCAAACAGGCAGCAACGACACACTGCAGGGCAGAGAAGAGCACCACCAGTCACTTAGAGAGCTGGGAAAGCCTTCGTGGATGTCATGCTCTACCTGAGTTTTGAAGAAAGGAGGTTTTCAGGGAGAAGCTAAAACAAAGCAGGAGAAAAAACTTTTATGTGTTCAGGAGCTGTGATACCAAAGCAGATGGAGCAGAGGCGATGGCCAGTGAACTACCCTGCCCCCACCTTTATGAAGCACTGGAGTAGAGAGACCAAGATGAACCCCGCTCGTTTACTTGTAGGCAGTTTTGTGTAGTTTCTAGGAGGTGAACCATTTAACCCACAGGGTTAGGACTGAACTCTGGTTTTAGAAGTAGCCGACCCTTCCCTTCCCTCTCTAGGGGAAGTCCAGGACAGGAGTTCAGGACTTCGGGAACTCCCTCTGGGCCCCTCACCTGCAGTCAGCCCTGTCTCCAGACAGCTTTTACTCCCTCCCTTATCTCCATGCCTGCTTCTGCCCTCTTTCTTCCTGTCCTTGCCATTCACAGACTCATGTCCCCGAGTTTCTGCTTTTAAGTTTTATACCCCCAGATCTGAAGTTGCCACTCTGCATTTGAGAACAGGAGGATGTACCTCCCTCCATGTTGCCGGGATGGGGATGGGGACAAGGGATGGGAAGGAGAAATGGTGAGTTGCACAAGCAGATAAAGCAGCAAATGCTTTGGGGTGGCAAGGGAAAGACATTCATCGTGTGATGATCCCAGAAGCTAGAACTCAGTCCTGCAGGCAACATTTCAACATGGAAGATGTCTGAAACACACCTTTGCCACTCCCTCACTGGAACCAGGTGAAAGACAAGATGTTGGGGAAGGATAAACGATCAGAGCGCTGGTTCTCCCATGGAGGATGTCGCTTAGAGCTGACAATTCTCCACCCCAGAGTTAGACTGATCCACCCAGTCCCTGGCAGCCACAAACAATCCAGGGGCTCCTGGAGACAGTGTGGACAAGGAAGCACCTTCTGAAGGCAGGCAGGTCCCAGGAGAGGAGGGAGGATGAGGCTGAGCCACTTGTGCTTCGTCCCTTCCAAACTTGGGGGGACAGGTGGAGAGGAGGCAGGAATGAGGGACAGCTGATGTCTGTTCACATGGAGACGCGGGGACTTGCAAGTGTGCCAGCTTTCCTGCCCTGAGGCTCACTCTGCTGGGCTCTGGTGAGTTAAAAGCCCACTTAGGCCCTGGATTTGAGTGGTCATGGCTCTCTCTGAAGTATGATGATCAACTGAGCCCAAGATAAGGGCCCCCAACGGGTGGTCCACCTGGAGAAGAGTCAGGTGGGGCTGCAGCTCCTTGCTGGTGTCCGTTTTTGTTTTGTTTTTCTGAGTTGGAGCCTCACTCCGTCACCCAGACTGGAGTGCAGTGGCCGCTCCCGGCCACCGCAGCTTCGCCTGCTGGGCTCCGGCGATCCTTCCGCTCAGCCTTCCGAGTAGCTGGAACGACAGGCGCGTGCTACCACGCCCGGCTGATTTTTGATTTATTGTAGAGATGGGGTCTCGCCAAGTTGCCCAGGCGGGTCGCGAATCTTTTTTGTTTTTAAAGCAGCTTTCATGAGTCAAGATGTTTTTTCTTTTTCCTTCCTCTGTTGAGAGACAGGGTTTCGACGTGTGGTCCAGGCTGGAGGGCAGAGTTGAGATCGTGGCTCACTGAGGCCTCGAACTCCTGGCCTCAAGCAATCCTCCTGCCCCAGTCCCCGAGTGGCAGGGATTACCGGTGTGCACCACCGCTCCCGGCTACTCCTGCTTTTTGTAGCGAGGGGTCGCGCTGTGTTGCCCAGGCTGGTGCTCAC